GGGAAGATTGACCGTAGGTGAGTGAATATCGGGGATTCAAGTTCCTCGAAAGTGTTGAGTATGAGCGCGGAGGCGTTTTTCATTTTTGAGGCTTGTGTGATGAAGAATTGCAGGATACGATCTTCGGGGTCTAATTTGCAAATAGACGGAAGATCTCGGCTTCTAATGATATTTTCTAAACCTGGTATATAAGGAATTGGTTTGTCCACGTCATCACTTCCTGCTATGGGATAAACATTGAAAATTCAAAATTAAAATTCAATTAAAAAAATAAAATGAGTAAATTACATATACCGTCGGCCGGCGCCGGAATCTCGCCGTGTTGGATCAGTGTCTGGAGATGGAAATAAGTCCAAGTGCAAGTGGCGCTGTAGGTCCTGAAAGTGATGGCCGGAATCCCGAGCTCCGCCGCCGCGTCGATCGCGAAGGACATGATTCCGTCGGAGATGATGCACGCCGGCGCGTGGCTCATGGAGGCGATCGTGTCTTTGAAAATCGGTTTGCAGGAGGTGCTGGTGGAGAGGAGTAAGTCGACGATGGAAGGACCGGTTCTCGGGTGGTCCGGCGGCAGACCGTCGGGGATGGAGAGGAATTTGATCCCCGGGCAGCGGCGGCGGAAGGCGTGTTCTGCGGCGTCGATGCGGCGGTGGGTGTGCTCGTTGTTGACGAAGGTGACTGTGAAGCTGGCTTGGCTGAGAAGCTCGGCTAACATGAGCATCGGCTTGATGTGGCCTTGAGCTGGGAATGGTATGATGACGACATGAGGATATTCCATGGTAGCTGCTTTGGGGTGCTGCAACTTTATATTATTATTATTATATACACAAAAGATTGAGATAAATAACTTAATTGTTGTATAATTTAGTAATACTTTAAAATACAATATATCATAAATTAATATTTGACTTATTCGAAATTACTGGGGGATTCAACAAAATAATACGATGAAATTGAAATGTGTAATTTCAAGAATTATGCTGTATTTATAATATAATATGATGAGAAACTAATTAAAAATAATTATAAATTGTATAGTAGAGGATAATTTATTGATAAATATATCTGAAATGCTAAATCATACACTAATTATACCAAATAATGTACCTAACTAAAAATATTTTTTTTTCTAAAATTTTCTATTGTTGTTGGGGAAACTAAAAATATTTTTTCCCTAGACGACAATGCATAGCACATGGGTTGGTCCCACCATCACTTAATGATAAAAACACAGGCACGGACAAACCAATGCAAGCCCATAAGATTAGGCCCAATGGGTTATCTTTGTTAAATTTCCCAACTCCTTTCAATAGAAAACAAATTGGGCCTAGAAGTTATGTGATATAACTGATTCCTTACAAATCAAATTATATAATTATATATATATATATATATATATATATATATATATATATATATATATATATATATAATGTTTTTCTCGTAATGAAAAAACCCGCATTCAATCATACAGGGTAAAGAAAATTCTTTGAGAAGTGAAAAATGGGATAACATTTAACCTTTTTTCTCCGATTTGTAAAGAACTATTTGTTATCCCTTTAGCAAATAAGGAAGGGATCGCGCGCCTACAAACTTTATTACATATATTTATTAAAGTTAAAGTTGTGTTTAGGGCACGAATGCCTAAAACAAGTTTGGAATAAAATTAAAGCAATCTAGTAAATTATTACTCCATTTCATAAAGCAATCTAGTAATTATTGTTTCATGCAACAAGCGTGCTAGAATTATGGACTTTTGCCCACCACACGCGATACATATATAATTAGAACATATTTATACTGGAGCTTTGATTTTTCAAGAATTTCGGCATAATAACATGGGAAATAGAACACAACGAAGATGAAGTGGTTTTGCTGAAAATATAGATTATAGATCAACTATCTTTCTCCGTTTGCCAAATGATTTATATATATGTTGGATTTTAGGCCTAATGGATTAATTTTAATCCAACCCATTAACCGATCTTATATGAGGCGGCTCACTTGTTCGGTCAAATCACGGGTAGGCTCTAGATTTTCGATTATGCTCGTTGAGTTTCACCGACTGATTCAAACTGTCCACTCGAGTTATTTTACCTCTGTCTCTCTCCCAAAACCCCCTAATTTTTGATATATCTCTCTCATTATCGTATCACCGCATTGGATTCACCTTGGTATTTTTGGACGACACACCCGTTTTTATTTCTTTGCTTTAGAGACAACCTCTCTTTTCCATCTACTTAAAATGTGAAAGAGACACAAAACACACACAATTTGAGTACCAAAATTCCTTGTTTAAGTCTCTTTTATGTGACCGTGGATCAAAAAAACTTTCATTAACTAATTGCAAATCCCTCAAATGCCTTTCTATATCCAAAATAACAAAAAAAAAAAAAAAAAGGTCCCACAAATGTCCGAAAAATTCAAATCATATATGTATGAAAACATTTCTCTCCAACAACCTTAAAAAAAAACATAATAGAATTAAGCAATAATTCCAAGTAGGATTAAGCAATAATTGATGTTAAACAAAATATGGGTCCATTTGATATACACCCCTAGAATGGAAAATATATAGGGATAGGTCCACCCCTAAAATTCTTTCTTTGAGATACCCCCTGGAGATGCAAAAGTACTATTGTGCCCTTAAGTGCAATTTTCGCCCAATTGTATTCAGTATTTCCGCCCCTACATTCAGCATAATGTTGAACTGCATTTAGCATTTTGGGCCAGCATTTATCATTTTTATATATTATTTTAATAAAAAATATAAATTCTTATTTTACTATTATTTTTTATATATATCGTATTTTGTATTTTTTTAATTTTTTAATTTTTTTTAATTTTTTTAATTTTTTTAATTTTTTAATTTTTTTAATTTTTTTTAATTTTTTTAAAATTTTTAATTTTTTGAAATTGTTTAATTTTTTTTATTTTTTTTAATTTTTTTTAAATTTTTTAAATTTTTTTTAATTTTTTAATTTTTAATATTTTAATTTTTTTTGATAAATTTATTGTACTGAATTGACTATATATGACTACAGTATACCACAGTCATGTATAGTTATATGTAATCATATACTGTCTTTTTACCCCAAAATTAATCTAAACCAACAACAAAATTCACAATTTAATCTTGATATTATAAATCAACTAACCCAAAAATAATGAAAAAACACAATCACATGCATATAATCTTCAAAACATGAACACACATTACTATACATTAAAAAAACATAACATACATATAAATATATGTTACTACACGTGACTATAGTTATATACAATTATCTATAGTTATATAAGTGGCATAAGTCTGGAGTACTGTAGCATGAATCCAACTTCACAAAGGCACTTCATCGAATTTTATTCTCCGCATGTCATAAAATTATAATAAAAGCAAAACCTGCGACAAAAAAATAAGAGTTAAATAGCAAAATGGAACATGCGAGTTAGATTACATGAAAAATACAAAAAAAAAACATGATTTTTTTGTTGATAAATTTACTGAACTAAAATCGACTACAAATGACTATAGTATACTACAAGTCTTATATACAGTCATGTATAGTTACATGTAGTCATGACTATACATGACTACATGTGACTGACTATATATGACTGTATATGACTAAATATAACTGTATATTCATCTGATTCAAATTAACCATTTTAGTAACCACTACTCGTTAACTTTCTATTACAGAAAAATAAAGCTCTCACACATTAGGCATTTCAAATCATCTTCAAATAAATACTAAAAAAAATACATATGATTTATAATAAAAAATCAAATTACATGAAAACAACAAAAAAAACATGATTGTTTTGTTGATAAATTTATTGAACTAAAATCAACTACCAATGACTATATTATACCACAAATCTTATATATAGTCATGTATAGTTACATGTAGTATGACTATACATGACTACATGTGACTGAGTATATATGACTGTATATGACTAAATATAACTGTATATTCACCTGACTCAAATCACTCATGTAAGTAATCACTACTGGTTAAATTTCTATTACAGACAAACAAATCTCTCACACATTAGGCATTTCAAATCATCTTCAAATAAAAAAAAAAAAAAAATTATATATGATTTATAATAAAAAATCAAATTACATAAAAAATACAAAAAAAACATGATTGTTTTTGTTGATAAATTTACTGAACTAAAATCGACTACAAATGACTATATTATACTACAAGTCCTATATATAGTCATGTATAGTTACATGTAGTCATGACTATACATGACTACATGTGACTACCTATATATGACTGTATATGACTAAATATAACTGTATATTCACCTGACTCAAATCACCAATGTAAGTAACCACCACTGGTTAAATTTTCATTACAGAAAAACAAAGCTCTCACACTTTAGGCATTTCGAATCATCTTCAAATAAATACAAAAAATAAATTACATATGATTTATAATAAAAAAAATCAAATTAATCCAAAGAAAAATATTTTAATATTAATTGTTCATAGATCTTAAAAAACATAGTAGATCTAGTTTTTTTTAAATAAATACAGTAAATATATACGAATCGAAAACCACCAATTCCAGATCTAAAATTCACCATTAGATCTGACACAATTTAAAATTTTCGAATTCAGTTTGTTTCATAAAAAAAAATAATAAAATAAGGTGAAATAGTGATAATAATTCAGATCTTCGAAAAATAAATTAAAAATGGATTGGCATTCATAAATTAAAAAAATAACTTAAAAAAAGTGAAGTGAATTAGTACCGAGTTCAAGACGGTGGGAGGAGCAACGACGGAGCACGGCAGCAACAACGGAGCACGACGGAGCACGGCAGCACGACGGAGCACGACAGCACCACGGAGCAACGGAGCACGACTGAGCACGGCAGAGCGCCAGAGCAGCGGAGAAGGTGAAGTGACGGAGAAGGCGGAGCGACGGAGAAGCGGAGCGACGGAGAAGGCGGGGAAGCGGAGAAGCGACGGTGGGAGGTGAGAGAGGAGAGAACAAGAATTTTGAGAGAGAGAGAGAAGAGAAACGTGGGAAAGGGAGAGAGAAAAGAAAACGGCCGTGAGAAGGGAGAGAGAAATTAAGGAGAGTTGGTGAAATTTAGGGTTTTAAATTGTAACTAAAAGGGTAAAACTGGTATTTCAATTTGTCTAGGGGGGTCTATCGAATTAAGATTAAAATTTGGGTTTTTGACTAGCAAAGAAAAATCCTTAGGACATTTCCCTATATATTTTCAAAACTAGGGGGTTATCCTCATTTCCCCAACAAAATATATTGCACATGAAATAACGTGTCATACGGCCCCATCAATTCTAATTAGAAATAACCAATTGCGATTTAAAAAAAAAAAGAAAGTCCAAAAGGCCATACTGACAATGACAAAAATCATCAGTAGGTACCAGCCCAACACGAAAACAAGGACAACTTGTTTGTCAAATATATAATTCATTTATTTTTATTTTTTTTTATTTTCTAATAACCCGTGAAAATATTTTCCAGTAAAAGACAAATTTTCCTATGTGGTTTCAAAATAATACTTAATAAGTATGTTGTTTTTTTTTTTGTTTTGTCGTAATAAAATATGTAATGTTTTGAGATAAAAATATGCTTATTGATTAAGATTAAAAAGAAATGCATAATTTTGTTCTTTATTAGGTGATGTTTGATTTTCTTTTTTGGCTTATGGAAATTCAACTTTTACCTTTACTAATTTTAATCCATAATTTGAGAAAACTTTTGTATAACACGTTTTTCGTGCTTAAGAGGTATTACGTTTAAATCCAATTTTATAAATTAAATTGAGTTATCATAATATTTGCAAACACCTCCGACTTTCCAAATAAATAATTATCCACCAACCTCTGCTTGAGGATAAACTTTTGTACACACCACCTTAAGATTCAAAATAATCGAATAAATTTCAAAAACAAAATTGCCCATACATACAAAATATAAACAATTTTGTTGAAAGTGAAATCCAAGTTATTAAAAAATAAAAAAAATAATAATAATAATATTATTTTGTTTTGAAGGGAAAAAGAAATCCAAGTTGATAAGGTGAGAAATGAGGTCCACAACCGCCTCACAGGCCGTTCCAAACAAATTGACCCTACTGAGATCCATCAGACTGGTTTTAATCTGGGCCCCACGATCAAACTGGCACTCGATGCAAATAAAAGTAAAGTGGGCCTCCCATTTGGGCCCACATGCCCTTATAAAATAATCTGCTGTGACGCGTCGGCGCCTCCGCGCGTAATTATGGCCACACATCTGTTTCCACTACAATCTCAGCCGTTGGATCTTTTCAGAAAGCGAAACGCCTCTTCATTAACACTCTCTCTCTCTCTAGCAATCTCTCAGTCGGTTTTACTACTCACTGCAGTGACACACACATTTTGTTCGCGGGGTTTTTACTTTCTCTCTCTATACGTATAGATACGCACTTGCATCAATGTGTATCTATCTCTAGGACTGTTCTTTGCTTTCTTCCCCGGCATCGAAGATTACGCTTCCTCCGATTCTAAGAAGATTTCTTCCTTTTTCTCTGAGCCTGTAATTCCTGCAATTCCTTGCTTTCCGTTCAGTGTAGGTTCGTCTCTTTATTATATCTTATTTGTATGTATTTTTCTCCTTTCTCTTGGGGCTTTTCTCTCTCTAAAACAATTTGTGTTCGTTGAATATTTTGGTTTTCATTTTATTGATTTTTTTTTTCTGCTGTCGGTGTTATTTTGAGCTGGTCTTATTATGAACTAGCTGATTATTGAAGCGAATTAGTGCTAATTTCTACTCCAATTGAACTTTAAATTGTTTGGATCTATGTTTCCCGATTCGGATGTGAATGCTTAGCCATTTGATTTGGGATTTTTCGTGCTTTTAGCTTACTCTTCCGAATCTAGTCCGAGAAAAATAATTATTTGTCAATTCGGAATATGAAATTACCAAATGTGGGTATATATTTTAGGTTTTCTGGGTAGCACTGCCAAAATACTGCGTTGCTGAGTTTGTTGTATGTCAGAAATTGAAGTTTGCTGTGCCTTAGATCCATGGCTTCAATTTAGGAGTCTGGGCATACTTTTAATTTTCAAGTGATATTTGTCTGTTCATTGTACAGTTTCCATTACATTATTTGTGTATAATAGGTAGTTTTAATTGCTCTTCTTTGGTGTTGGTGCATTATTTTCTTGAAAGTAAATAGCAGCCACTCCTAATTACGAGTGCGCATTTCATGCTTCGATGTCTTAGATAGATGTGGTCTGTAGATAATTTATTCCCCAGTATGTTGTTCGTTCCTCTTTTATTTACTTATGTTGTATTGTTAAAGTGATTTTAGTTTCAACTCTCAGGAAAAAAAAAAGAGGAGGCATCCTTGAAGCACTCATCATATTGGAAGTTCCATTGAGAGCTACTACAACTTTAATTTCCGACTGCCCAACGGAAGAGTGAAGATGTAATAGAACACCATCTAGCATGAAAAACTCAGTCCTCTAAGTGTAGAAACATCTTATCGAGACATGGGACATGTCTTAAGGCAGGAGAGATATTTCAAGCAACAACACCCCTCGGATACTGCTGTTAAAGAAGAAATTCCATTACCGCGGACAGATAGAAGGTCATCATTTCAAGACAAACATAAGGTTGGACCTTCGTTTGGCCAGCCATATCTTGATCCGAAGTATGAATTAAGACAGAGTGCAGGCACCGAAAAAGTGGCCCATTCTAAATTTTCAGAAAATGAGCTCGTCAAGCACATGTCGAATTTACCAGGCTTTCTCCAGCAAGTGGAGAAGGATAACAGCATTCAAGAGAAGGCACTGAATTTTGGTGTTCTTGATTGGAAGCGTTTAGAGAAATGGAAGTATACTGAACGTATGCCTGGAAAAAATCCCAAGAAAACATCACCAACCAGCAATTCCGTACACACAGCAAATGGACCACCTAAAATAGGTCCAAACTTGAGAAAGCTGCCACCGTCACATGGTCGTAACCCAAGTTTGTTCTACTCAGGTCAACAGCCAATACCACAAAATTCACGTTTTAGTTCACCTCAGAAAAGACAACCTCCTCCTCTCAGTTCATATCTCAATTCATCGAAGGAAGAAAAATATGTTGAGCAAATCAAGACAGTTCCTTCTTACAAGGGGAGTTTTTCTGAGGAAACTGTGTACAACACCAAGAGGAAGGATCGAAAGAGGGAAGTAGTGTCAGAAAAAGAAGCCTCATCGTCAGAGCATGGCAAGAGCAAGGTTTCTATTCTTTCACATAACAAAATTAAGGCTCGTGGAGAAAAGAGTGAGATGAGATTCGATGAAGGAAAAGTTACTTATGAAAATATCCCTGACCCGCAAAATATTGTGCTCCTAGTACCCAAAGATTTTCCAAAGGCTAGTTCTTCGGAGAGTTCTCAGTTTACAGAATCCCGAACCTCAGTTGATGAGCAATTGGTAGAAGTCACTGTGAACAGATTGTCTGATTTCTTCTCTCCTCAAGAATTTTACTCTGGAGAATTCACCACCGATATTCCACACTCATGTCCGCTGCCTGCTGGTTCTTTAGAGCCAAAGAACTTGGTAAATTCTCAGGCAAATGACTTGGATATTTGCCCAAATGCTAATAATGCCACCTCCATAACATCTGAAAGCAAATGTTCTGTGATGCATGAAGAAACTGCTAGGCCTTCATCTCTTGTCGAGTCTTCTGACAGTAGAAGACCTGACATTGCTGGACATCCCACTGTGAAAGGAAGAGCTCCCTCTCCTACAAGGCGCTTCAGTTTTAGTCTCGGAAAGATGAGCAGAAGTTTTAGCTTTAAGGACAGCTCAGAAGTCCCACAATTGAGTTCGACATATACTGCTGTCAAATCAGGCCCAGTTAAGCCCGAAGTGGATAACCATAACAGAGGGAGGTCCAGCCCGTTAAGAAGATTGCTGGACCCACTGCTGAAGCACAAAGGACCTCAATCTACTGAGATTGTTAAGCCGCTTAGTAGAAGCTTGCACTCCACGACTAACGGCACCACCAAGGGCTCAACTTTGCAGGCTCTTTTGCAGCTAACTTTGAAGAATGGACTGCCTTTCTTTAAATTTGTGGTCGATAATAGCAACGATATGCTAGCAGCCGCTGTGAAGAGGTTGCCAGTACCTGGGAAGAGCGATCCTTGCATGGTTTATGTATTCTACTCCGTTCACGAGATCAGGAAAAAGGGCATGAAGTGGATGAATCAAGGATCAAAGGGTAAAGATTGCAACCTTGGTTATAAGGTTGTTGGTCAGATGAAGATTTCGAACTCTTATTACCCGAAAGGGAATGCTAGAGATTCTAGTGTTTGGAATGCAAGGGAATGTGTAATGTACGGTGCTGATTCCTCAGGAGGGCTAGTGGACAAGAAAACACCTGAATTTGTACCGAACAAGGAGATTGTTGCCATAGTTGTAAAAAATTCGAGCAGAAACAGTAACCAATTTTGTGAAGAAAGGGAGTTTTCAGAGTGTGCATCTCCTGTAATATTTGGCACAGAAGAAAATAAAAGCTCTAATGGAACTGTAGTGATACTTCCTGGTGGTGTTCATGGTGTACCGGTTAAAGGTGCACCTTCGTCATTAATTAGCCGATGGAGCTCCGGTGGATCGTGTGATTGTGGAGGGTGGGATGTGGGGTGCAAGCTTCGAATACTTTCTGACGATATAAAAAGTAGCAAAAATCTCCCAGATATTGATCATTTTAATCTTTTCGCACAGGTATGTTTTATAAATGCTTCAACTTTTCAGTTTTAACCTCTAATTCTACGAATACTTTTAAATGACTATTTCAATAATGCCACTTCTTATAGGGTGGAGACGAGAAGAGCAAGCCCGTTTTCAGCTTGAAACCGTTTAGCAATGAATTGTACTCCATTGAACTGGATGCATCGGTTTCTTTGCTAGAGGCATTTGCTACATGTGTGGCCTATGTCACTTGTTGGAAATTCCCTGAAATCTTGGATACGTTGTCTGAAGGAGAACATTTTCAAGAAAACATTGTCGAGACTGATATTAGAAGAACAACGAAGATAATTCCTACAAAGTACGTGACATGCCCGCCGTTGTCTCCAGCTGGAAGGATCTAATTTCTAAAGACCGAATCATGTTGTTAGCGTTTAGATATTTGTTTTTCTTTTGAATTACTGTGACCACATCTATATCTCGAAGAGAGTATGTTGCTGTCATTAGTCCCTATTTCGTTCTATAATAAATTTTAGTTGGGTGGAAAGTGATTAGTAATGGCTCTGTAATCTTGTAAAGCTTTTCTGCTAGTGCAAAAAATCTTGCATGACTTCTATAATTTTAGTATAACCTGCTTTTAATCTGTATAACTAGATTTTCTTTCGGACAAATTTTCCTGCGATTAGTATAAAAATATTACATGACAAAAAGGACTCGTGCATTACAGAGTTGTTGAGATTATTACATTCTTGATTTTCAGAGATCAACATAGGAAGCATGATGAATACATATAAACCACTGACCATCAACTCTCTCGAAAACATTAGTAGCAAAATGTCTTCCCCAGCTACTGCCCTTTGTCTTCACCATTTCAATGCAGGTCACATAACCCATATCGCCTCTCACGTGAACCTGAACATCTTTAATCTCGATTTCCAAAGGGAATTCATAGTCCGCCCACACGAATTCCCAACTCCCCATCACAAGATCGTAGCCCGATATTCCACTCACTCCAGGGTGCACAACACACACATGCTCGCCCTTTGACCAGAGAGATTGCATAGCAGCTAAATCGCCGTTTCTGAATGAGTTATAAAATCTTGCATTTGCTGATAGTACTGAAGCTTTGCTGTCTTCTTGGAGAAGTTTCAGGCTATCCCTGATTTTTGCTGCTTGTGCGTAGTTCTCTTCTTCAATGGCTGTCTGTAGTTCACGCTCTAATGTTTGTTCGTTCAGTAAGATGCTTTCGCCACTCGAGAAGGTTCCGCCGGATTCTTCTTTTGTAACTTTGCATGAAACCGACGAGCGTGATCTAGATGCTACTGCTCTGAAAACAAAGTGAAGAATTAAGATGTGTGTGTATCTTACAACTAAAAGCAAAATTGGAAACAAATAAGAAAAAGGAAATCCAGAAAACAAGATTGCACTTGACAGTATACCTTGAAGTTAGGCCTCGGAGAAAAGGTATAGAAGTAGCTCCTACTCGAGAATTTCCACTCAAAACGAGATTGCATCGCTTCTTTGGACACATATTACTATCAATGAAGGAGCTTCGTAAATGTGCGCGTTCTATAGTATCCAACATTACCTACAGCCATAGTTATCATACAAAATCAGATTCAGATGGATCTTTTGAATATTACCTAGATTACTTGGCTCATGTTTTTCTCACTCAGATAGGAAACAATTCAAAGAACAAAGAAAAAAACCCCAAACAATTCTATTCCGATGTTAATAACTACTCAAGGGGAAAATACCAAAAAAAAAAAAAAAAAGAAAAAGAAAGAAGCAAATTAAATTCAATAGACCTCACACATTGAATTCAATAGTTCTCACCCAAGACATCGAATTTAATGTTTTCTCATGCATAAAACCCCAGTCCTTCCAACTACCAAGTCAACAGATTATCGCAGATAACTCGATTTACATACCCAAAAAAAAAAAAAAAAAAAAAAGGCAAAATTGAAAAACAGGAAAATAAAAATAAAAATAAAAATAGAAATACTCACAGTATCAATTGCATGCCTGAAGAAACTAGGTTTCCGAATCAGGCGACACGAGAAATGCATCGCGGAAAATTTGGCAGCCTCCATTGCAGAAAGTATCTCACCAGCTGGGAACAAAGGAGAAAATTAAAGAAATGATTGCAAAATAAAGCGCAACGAAATGCAATGCAGATCCATGGTTTTGTTGAAGAAAAAAATAATAAAAAAATCTGGAAATTTCATTGTTTGATAAGGAATGAATTGCTTACTCTGTTTGACTGGTAGGAGCGATCACAGAACAGAAGAATGATGAATGATGAATGATGATAGACTTTGGGGGAAAGTAGCTGCACGCACGGCTTTGATTTCTGGGAGACAAACCTTGACCGTTGGATTGCTCTGGCGTTTTTCTGGGCTGGGCTATTGACATGAATATAGATCATACTAAATTTGGGCCATTTAAATATAAATTTTAATTTGTGAAATTGGGCTTGTTTGGATCTACATAAAAATTTTGGAAAATTACGGACAACCGGGTAAGGTTAAATTACGAAAAAAAATCCGTCTTATTTGAGTAATTACAATTACCACTTAATTATGATGTTTTTTTACACGTCCACCCTTATGGTATCAAATTCAGCATAATTTTCTAGATTTCATGGAATATTCTCTAGTTTGTACTCGTTTTGTGTAACAAACAGTTCTTGATGCACCACCATACTCTAATGTTTACAGACCAATAGACATATCTTATAATCATCTTGTTTCTGAATATGGAGATCGAATGGAAAAACGGGCACAAACTTGAGAATATTCCACATAATTTAGAAGATTTCGCTAAATTTAAAATCACAAAAGTGAATGTTTAAGATAATTCAAAGTTGAGGTGATTCTAATTATCTAAATATGACAGATTTATTTTCTTAGTTTAACATTTCCAATCTTTAAATTAATTTTATACTTTCTATTATTATTTTTCTGATACGGACGAAATAAATATAATACTGGAAAAGTCATAGTGCGTGCATCTCGATAAAATGAAATATTGCAATTTGCAAGTGTAAAATGGGCAATGTGGTCAATATATAAATAAAATTCGTCGTTAAATTAACAACAAGGCAAACAAGACCAGGTGGTGTAGGGTGCGATGGCGCCGTGGGCCCCACCAGGAGACTGGGATTAATTAACCGGCAAGGGTCAAAACTCAAAATCCGATATATATATATAAATAAAAAATATATATAATATATAAGAAGATCACCCTTCTTCGCCCTCACCTTCTACTCCCTCAATCCACTCTACTCCCTAAATTCTCTTCCCATCTTTTTCTTCTTTCCTTCTCCGCTATTTCGCGCTGCTTCCAGATTGGATTCTTCTTTTCTTTCGCATTCGGTGGGCGAATTTCATTTATTTCTAACCTGCGTCTAGATTCTGCATCAATTTGTCGATTGATGCGACGTCGTTTTTAGGATTGCCTGATGGAATCGATCTGGACGCACAATGGCGTCCCCACCGCTTCGCATTTCATCTTCGCTGTCTACTTCGCCTTTGCGTTCGTTGCTGTCAGGTTCATTCTCGACAGATTCATCTTTCGTGTAAGTTCTGAATATATTATGCGCATGTTATTATTTGTCAGGTTTTTATTTCTCAGATTGTTTGTTTGTAGATGGATGTGTGTTAAAATGTGTGAAATGGTGTCAATTTTGTTAGAGCGTCTGTTTGAAGATTGATAAATGGCGATTGCGATATGCATCTTAGTGTTGTGCGATTGTCGGTTATTTAATTGAAGGTTCTCTGATTCGTTAGAGAAACGAGCTTATGACTTGATTTTCCTCGAGAAATTTGACCAAGGTAGAAGAAATATCAATTATATTGATTTTTCGAGAGCCAGTGTGTTTGAGGAAGTGGCGTTGTTTATAGAATGTCCAGAACTCTATCTGATTATGTTTATTCCAACTCCGGCTAATGTCGTTAATTTAATTAAATGTTGTTTAAACAAGTCGGATATGTTTATTCTCACTCCGGTTAGTATAGTTATAGATACAATTAGCTATTGCGTGGACAAGACGTACTGCATTTTTTCGTGTCTGAATAGTGTTATTAATAAAATTGGGTAAAGTTATTGGCATACTTTTCCACACTCATGGTCACTATGATAGGTTTTTCGGTACATCAGTTACACTTTGCCCTTCTGCTTTTTGTGTATGAAAATGGTTTGAATTTGGAAATATTCTTCAGATCACCTTTCTCAGTCCTTTGAGATATAGAAATAAATCTATATTTCAACCCCTGGCATCGAAAATATAATTTATATGATATGTTTCTTGGATGATGAATACCCCTACCCATGATTTAGCGAAAACTTCATATCAGATGTTATGGCGTGGCACTATCATTACTGGATTAGGGAGATGATTATATTGCACTAATACCAGATAAAGAGTTCTCTAATTAACTTTGTATGAAAATAAGGTATAATTGGAAGCTGGAACTATACTGAGTCCTTTTTTTTTACTGATTTACTATCTTGTATTTCAGCTTTGCGGAATATTTTCTACCTGGAGATAAATGTTCATGTTTATTTTGTAAACAAATCCTTATAAGAAGTCAAGATAATAAAGAGCATGTTTAAGTATTATCCTGTTAATATGATTGCTCTTTGGAAATAACTTCCATTCTCACAGTCAATTATCTATTCCAGAGGCTGGCTATCTGGTTGTTGAGCAGAGGTACTGCTCAGCTGAAACTTAATGACGAGACAAGGGCAAAAATAGCGAAATGTACAGAGTCAATGTGGAAACTTACATATTATGCTACTGTCGAGTTTTGCATTTTAGCGACTATCTACCAAGAACCATGGTTTATAGATATTAAGAAGTATTTTACAGGCTGGCCTGATCAAGAGCTAAAGTAAGTTTTTATATCTCACTACACTTCTCCTAGCTACAAGCATGTGACTCTTATATTTTGTTTTTCTCGAGTGAGAAGAACACATCATCTAGTGGTCGACATGAACGTTTTTGCCTGTTATTGTTTGAGTTTTTATCTTTAACGTACAACAAATGCAATTTTCTTGTTTTAATTGGCTAAGGACTTCAGCAGCCTCTTACCTTTTAATTGTCTAAGGCCTTCCCAGTATATTTTAGTGTATGATGTCTTTACTCTTTATATCTTCGTATGTTTCAGTATGTGCCACAGAATAACACATTTTCTTGATTGTGCTTGTTTAATGATGTGATTGCAAACCAATGCACAAAAGCTGCTGTAGTTATGTCATTTGAAATGATTCACCTACATGGTGAGGATAATAAGAACATATGCCTTTTAATGCTTCTTATTTTTGTGTCATTATATTTTGTTACTTCCAGTGCTTCAGTTTTTTCCTAACTTTTTGAAGATAAAGTAAAAAAAAATATCACTAGGTGGAGGCAATGAGTGCCTTTATGTGATTCGGGCCAAACAAATATGGTCTGGAAACTGAATGTTATATTTCTCATGCAACAATTTGAAATGATTCACGTAAATTTTCTCATTGATGTTTTTAACAGTTCTTGCCCATGCATTCGGGGAAAAATTGCTTCCTGAATGACAGTCAATCTCGAACTACTTTAATTTTTAGAGAGATTGCTAATGCAGCATGCTCATTTCTTCTGATGAATCATACTCTAACTACATTTAAGATCTTCGAATCCTTGCTCATGTAGTTTGTTGGGATGGTCTTCTATGCATTTTCCATCTTTTTAGCCATGGGGGCTCCATGAACTTCAGCATTTTGCATGTCTATACACTGTTTATGAGTTGTTTGGACCTAAATTAGCATTGTTTAATTATTTCAGGCTTCCCTTAAAACTTATCTACATGTGCCAATGTGGGTTTTACACCTATAGCATTGCTGCCCTCCTTGCTTGGGAAACACGACGAAAGGATTTCTCTGTCATGATGTCTCATCATATTGTTACTGTGATCCTAATTTCTACTTCATACGTCACAAGGTATTTTTTGGTTCATCTACCGCTTAAGATTTCTAAAATATTGAGATGATTGTTACAAGGTTTTGGTCAATTAGTGAAGAAAGTGCTTAAGATTAGCAGTTGTGTCAGGTTTCTAAAGGTCATGTTTCTGTGCGCTTCATAAATAAGAAACCCTTGAGAAGATAGCTATCACTTTTCCCATATAACAATTCATTTTATCTCATGCATAGGGGAATTCCTTGAGATTATGTCTATTTAATATTGTTAATAATATGTAATTCATTAGTTCACAATGAATTTTACTTGATAGTGCTTGGACTTTTTGGTCAAATCTTATGCTGTTTTGTTTTGTTGTCTTGGAAGAACCTAATAATCATCAAGAATTATTACTTAAAAAATCCAAAGTAGGTCCTTGCTGTTCATAGTATATACAACTTCTCGTACTGTTAAAAAATGTTTATTCAATAAGATCATTTTCAGCAGTACACTCAAGAAATTTGGCTCACTGGGTTTGTGTATACAGCCGTAATCTTGCTTAAACATTAGGGGATTCAAGATAGCACGATTAAATTTGTATCATCATATATGGTGTGATATCTAGTAAAAAATTATGAAAAAAAACATTAAGCTTCATAAGATCTACTGTCTGTTCTTGGAGCGAGTTTATTTGAACTCGGTAATTACCCTCTTTTTCTTGGTTATGCTAATTGAGAAAGATTGATAACTGTTATGAAAATGACTGACCACTAACTTTTTCTGGATATACTTGTTAATCTTGAAAGATACACCTCTATGTATAAAAGTGAAGTTATTGATGGAGTATTCGTATGTACTTTGCACAGGTTTTTCCGAATAGGGGCAGTTATTCTCGCACTGCATGATGCCAGTGATGTATTCCTCGAAGCTGCTAAAGTATTCAAGTACTCAGGGAAAGAGTTTGGGGCTAGCCTGTTTTTCGGTTTGTTTGCTTTATCATGGGTTTTACTAAGGCTCATATTCTTCCCTTTTTGGGTCATAAGATCGTCAAGGTAGGTTTTCAAATGACGAGTATGTGTTTTCAGATTCTACGCTAGTCAATTTTCTCTAATCACGTTTCTTGTTACTATTCCTCAGCTACTACTTATGCGAAGTCTTGAACCTGTCAGAAACATACTCCGCCACATTGTATTATCTCTTCAATACAATGTTGTTGACCCTGCTTATTTTTCACATTTACTGGTGGATTCTCATATGCTCAATGATCACAAGACAGCTGAAAAATAGAGGACAAGTCGGTGAAGATATACGTTCAGGTCTGTATCTTTTTATTTTTTTAAATCGAGCATAATTGGCGTGCTTTTATATCTGTTACTAACACGTGTCGATTTGTCAACAGATTCGGACGATGACTAGTTGGAAATCATCTTCTCTGAGAGGTATGTTAGCTCGGTAAAAAAAATCGTTATGTTTGCGAATGATTGGCTTATTCAATCTGAGAATTTATATTTTTCAGTTGTTGTAATAGGAGAAAGATAGGAATTTCTAGCATAAAGATGAAGATTTCTGCAATTTATGTCGGACTAAAAACATAAAAAAGAAAAGAAAAAGCTCCATGTAAAAATTATAGGTGCTTGTATAGTATTTCCTGCTATTAGCATCAATGGAAATGAACGGAAGATCTGAACTAACCGGCATCTATTCTTTCCTTTCATCGTTTATTCGTTACTTCTGTTTCACTGACCTTGTGGGAGATATTTCATATTCATTTTTTGCAGGACTTAAAAATTCCTTTCACACAGACCAAAATGTCAATTTCTAAAATAACCTTAAACTAAATAAAATTATTTTTATTAAATGCAAAATGTCATTATCTCGATTCTGCCTTAAACTAAACGAAATCCTACGTCAAAAGGCAAACATTCTTTTTTAAATTTTTCTATTCCCTTCTAATATCTATACATGTTTGATTAGTTCTCCGAATTTCTTTATCGTTTGGAATATGGGCGATTTGAATTGTTAAAATATTCGTGTTGGATCGAATATATAATATTTTGCTGGCGATTCGTGGATGGCGGTGGGTGGCAGCTGACGGTGGTGCTGGCATGGCATATGGTGGCGACGATTAGTGTGAAGAGAAGTGTTAATTTTTAAAATGGATAGTTCATTTAGTGAAACCAGTTTATTAGGTAGAAATACATGATCAAGTTATTAAATACGCACCAAATCCACTATTCTTATTAATTCAGAATGTATTATTATCACCAACTAATTAGTAGTAGTAATTAGTAATATCTTGAATAAATTATTGATATTTAATAATTAAGTTGTGCGTACGTTGGTAACGTATAACTAACTATCCGGTTCTTTAACCAAGTCAAAATAATTTGAAAATTATATTAAAAGAATTCTTTTGATATTTAATCTCAAAACTAGTGATGAACAGCTATACTTTGAGATCTCGACGGATGCTGCGAAGAATAATCCAGACGTGTATTTTCTCTATTTTAATTTTCTTAATATGTATAGATATAGATACAGATAGACATAACAACTTCATTAACATATATAATCGGTCTATAATTAGCATATGTTTATTAACAATAAGTGCTTGAATTAATAAGTGAATTAAGAATCCGTTATCAGTTGTCACGATTTGTTCACATGGTTTGGTTTGGTAGGCGTTCTTTAGGTTGTAAGGCACGTCCTCCTCACGTGGAATAACCCCCCACACACACACCCCATAACGCCCATAACCCCATTATGTAATGTTCACCTAACAACCAAAAAATAATAAAAATAAATAAAGAATCTTTAATTTCAAAATCTAATTAAATTTTTAATTCCTCATAATTCGAAATTCAACGTGTCCCACTCACACATATTTGAAAGTTCAAAAACACATAGGAGAGAGACGGCTAACAAGTAACAAATGGCACTCACAATTCACAAAGACCGTTGACCGTTGACCAATACAAAAATTCAGTCCTGTCATGCCAATTGCAATTTCATAGTGCATGGTCAGCAAATCCATTTAGATTTTTTTTTAATAATATTTTTTTTTTGAGTAATTTATTTTATAATATTTAGGAGCCCAAAAAAATATCAGAAGCCATGGAAAAGTCAATACGCGCGGCTATCAGTATCATGCCTTTTTTAATTTTTTCCCTCCTTTTTACTTTTCCTATTCATGAATTATATCTGAGTGATTGACTGATATAATCCGTGATTTATGCTTTAAATTAAACAAATGCTTAATTACTGTTTAGTGTTTAATCATGACAAAACACACAGTTTAAAAACCAACTGTTTTATAGTTTATTCCATAAGCTTAACAAAGGTAACTCTTGTAAGTTATAGGCGGGCATAATTAATAATTTTCAGACAGACATGCAAAGAGTGAGTTGTTTGGAGGAGGTCATGTTAATTGTGTTGGGTTAATTTAAGTACTGTATTTATTACTTCATAAATAACGGGTCGGGTTGGTTTAGAAACGGGTTATTCGACAAGTTAATGATAGCCACGTGGATCCAGTTGGTTGTAGTGGATAGAGATTCTTGATGAACTCTTATTTCAAATTTTTAAAAAATGAAAAAGGGAAAAGTGTGACAGAGCAGATTTTCTGTAATGACTCATCGGACCTCGAGCCGGGTGGCTCGTGACTTTCGATTCCACCAATGTTCCCTCTTTTAAAAAAAAATTAAAAAAAAAAAACTAATTTCTATATTAATAGGGTAAATTACGGGCATCCCAATATAATGTCAAATTACGAAAAACTCTCACATTTTAGTAATTACAATGATCCATCAACGAACTATGAATATTCTTATATGTCCACCCTTATTATCAACAGAATATTCTAGATTCCGTGGAATATTCTGATATTTACAAGCCAATAGACACATCTTATGATCAACTTGTTTCAAAATGTGTAGCTGAAATGCGATAAAACGGGTATAAACTGGAGAATATTTCACATAATAATCTAGAGTATTTAACTAAACTTGACACCACAAGAGTCAACATGTGAGAAATTCATTGTTAAGGGGTGATTGTAATTATCCAAACATGAGAGTATTTTTTGTAATTTAACAGGACCTCAGGGGTGGCCGCAATTTATTTGAATAAAAAAATTTGTTAACAAATTGTAAATTTTCGGATCTAAGTTGAAGGAATACAAAATTTTTTATTTATATTAACCCATAATACAAATTGCACAAATATTGATATATAATATAATTTTGGAAACAAAATAAATCTTTTAGGAATTAAGATCGAACAAAAAATCAAAATAAAAAATATTATTCCAAAATTGAAAAAAATTTGTATGACAGACAGAAATTGAAAATTTTGTTTCAATTTCCATGTATGGTATGACAAAATTGTTGCACTAATTAAGGCAGGTAAAACTGGATCCATTAATCATGCTTAGTTGGTACACTAATTTTACAGCCCCTAATACAATAAAAACGATTCCATATATTCACTATTATTAATACTTTCCTTAATAAATAGTTCTTAAATTAAATATAAAATTCCTTAATGCAGGCTTAGGCCGGATCATGAAATTGATTTCGACCTGGCCAATGTAACCCACCACGTCAATAACTCGAATATTTAATAAAAAAAATATAAAAATTATAAAAGACCAAATATTTTATTTAATTTTGAAAAATAAATAGTTACAGACATAATTATTAATTCGATTTATTTATTTAAACCCCCCATTGTTTATTTATTTATTTGTATGCAACTTCCCCTTCCCTTCTCAACTGTCTCTCCGTGTTCAACTCGCGTTTTAGCAGACAAAGGAGACAAATCAAAACAAAGCTTAGTATATATTTAGTGAGAGAGAAAGAGAGAGAGAGAGGAGAGAGAGAGAGAGGGAGAGAGAGAAAACTACCATACAGAGATAAGGAGAAAAAATAAAGAAAAGTACAACCCCCTCCCCATACCCCAGTTTTCAACAGCCTTCCCTTTTTGTGATTTCAATTTCAATTTCAATTTCAATTCCAATAATTCAATTTCAAAATTACTTTTCCCACTGCCACTGTTAAAGATCGATAATTATCCTCAGATACCATCAATTTTGGCATCTGGGTTTTTCCCTCCTGTGGATCTTGAGCGGAATTCTCGAGAAAAGGTGAATTCTTGGTTTGAATTTGAATAAAAAAGAAAAAGAAAAAAAGAAAAAGAAAAAAAAAAAGATTATTACAAGAAGGATGATGGATGCTTGTTCTGGAAAAAGTTTGGTATTGATGTAATATGGCACTGCTGTTATTTTGGCTATCAAATAAATAGAAGATGTCTTTTTACATTCGCCGCGAGGCTTCAAAGGTTGGCCCTTTTTACCCCTACATTTGATTTTCTTTTTTCTTTTTAAATAAAGTGTTTTTGGGGTTAACTTTTTTTTTTTTTTTTTTTTTTTTTTTATTTATTTAAAGTTTGGTTTTTTCTAATTTGTTTGTTATTTTTTGTGGTGTAAAGTCATGGAAGAGATTTTGTGCGGAAACCACAACAGAACTCAACCTACTTGCAGAAAATTGGAAGTATATTTTAGGAGGTCTCATTTGTCAGGTTTGTTCATACATACTATGTTTATGGTTGTGATCTCTGTCTGAGTTTATCTATGCTATGTCATAGATTTATAATGCATGGTGAAAATGTTGTGTTATGTAGTCTTTACTGAAATTCATTACTATCAAGAACCGGTACTTTGGAAAATGGGATTTCGATTGTGATAATTACTTATTGCTTTTGAGCTGTCGACGGTTCTATACATCAAATTTACCAATCTGAGTTAACGGTCGAAACCCGCAAAAAAAAAAAAAAAGAAAAAAAATCGGTGAAGGAAGGATTTCGATTTCGCTGTTGTGGGTTGCATATGAACAAGTAGGATAATAGGATATTAGATATAGTTATTTGTAATTGTATTACACTCAAGTAGTTATGGATTTGCCATGTTGTTTAAATATGGTTTTAAAGAACCTTTGCTAAATGTTATAACATAGTAACTAGGGACTATGATTTGTCGAATGAACACTCTGTAATCTGTATAGGGAGTCTGATGCATCCTTGTTCTTGTACAAAAGTCGGGATTTTTTCTCGGGTTTTCTTCAAAATAGCATTTTTATTCTAGATTCTAATACGTGGCATCGTCCATATTTTTCCTGTCAATAGTACATTCATGGGTTAGCAGCTAGAGGAATTCATTATTTTCATCGGCCAGGACCAACACTTCAAGATGCCGGCTTCTTTCTTCTTCCGGTAAAAAAATAATAAAAAAATTATTTAATTTCGTTTCTTATATTACTTTTGTAACTTTTTGCTTATGCTACAAACTTCGTTCAACTGTAGGAACTCGGACAAGAAAGAGCTTACATTAGCGAAACTGTGTTTACCTTCATTTTCGTGTCTTTCGTCTTGGTGAGATTTTTTCCTATTCGAAATATTTATTCCCCCCTAAAAAATGTCGATTATCATTCGAAGTTCTAAATATTTGCGATGATGCTAAATGCAGTGGACTTTCCATCCTTTCATACTGAAGAGCAAAAAAATTTACACAGTCCTAATATGGTGCAGGGCTTTGGCTTTCTTAGTCGTAAGTGCAATTTTAATTCACAAAGAAATTAATTCTTTAATTTCTACGTATTTTGTAAATAATTCCCATTTTTCTATCGTTTTTCAGGCTTGTCAAATTCTTCGGGTCATAACTTTCTACTCTACCCAACTCCCCGGTCCAAACTACCATTGTCGAGAGGTGAAAATAAATAATTAAAAAAAATTGTGCTCTTACTTTGTGCTGAAAATATTTTCTTGATTTCCTAATTTCTTTATTCTGAATGATGTAGGGTTCAAAGCTTGCAACGCTGCCTCGTCCCGAAAGTATTCTAGAAGTTCTATTGATAGGTTAATTTTCTCTTGCCGTTTTACATTTACTTCTCTAATTGTTCAAAATTTTTCGATATTTTGTGCTAAAGATTCTTTTTTTTTTTCGGGTTACGCAGTTCCAAGGGGGATGCTTTACGGCTGTGGTGACTTGATATTTTCGTCTCACATGATATTCTCTCTTGTCTTCGTTCGGACATATCATAAATATGGCACACGAACGTAATTTTTCTTCAATTTATATATTTTTTTCTCTCTTTTTGTTAAGAGTTTAAAAAATTGAATTACTAAACCATGGTTAATCTAAACTCGTTTTTGTGATGTGGCAGTTTCGTGAAGCAGTGTGCTTGGTTAACTGTCGTGATTCAAAGCTTGCTGATCGTGGCATCGCGTAAGCACTACACTGTCGATGTGGTCGTGGCATGGTACACCGTTAATTTGGTTGTGTTCTTTCTCGACAAAAAGTTGCCAGGTGAGTGAATTTATTACACTCCCCAAAATTTATCAAATTACCGTAATTTTTATCCGTTAATTGTTTTAATTAATTAGTTTGAAATACACGTTGCAGAACTTCCGGATCGTTCTAATGGATCCGCGACATTGTTCCTCCCGATAACAAAGGATAACAAGACTAAGGAAGAGAATCACAAACTCATCAATGGGAATTCCGGAGATTCTGCTGACTGGGTATTTATAAATATATTTAATAAATATATATAAATAAATTAGCTTCGATTATAATTTCTTATGAATTTTAATTTGGTTAAATCAGAGGCCAAGAACTCAAATCAATGGGAAGATTATGGAAGAAGGAAATGTTGTGCATGTTGAAGCTGTAATCAATGGTGTGTAAAGTAAAAGTTGCTGATCAAAAAACGTGTTTTACTTTCAACAGTTTCTTAAATGCGACTTTGTAATGAAAAGATGGCTTTTTACAGCTTGTGGGGGGGTGGGGTTGTATGTGGTCGGTAACAGCATATTGTATAATGGAATTCTTTATTTTTCTAATTTAATGATTATCTCCCACTTATTATTATGTTTTTTAATTTTTAAAATCAAGAAAATGAATAGAGAAATTCTTTATGTCTGTCTGGTTTAAATATTGAGACAACAACATGGGATGCCCACACTTGTAATGAAATTGACATGTCTATTTTGCACATGCTTTTGACAGAGGGGAAACTTATGATTTTGTCAGTTGTAATATTTTTAGTTATTATTTTATTATATGATATTTATATTTATATTATATTATTATTATTATTATATAGTTTTGATGTAGTGGCCACTTGCATTACATGCCAATGGGGGGTCTACTACGTTACATTATTTGGGATTCTGAGAAAAATTGGCTTATCCCATGTGCTAGTTTTAGAATTTTTATTATTTTAATATTAATTTGTTACTTCTTAGAAATTAAAATTTATTTCCCTAAAAAAAAAGAAATTAAAATTTATCATTTGGAATTTTGTGGGACAAGAATAATTGTTTTTGAAATGTTGGAGATTTTATTATACAATAATTACTAATTATTTTATCAAAAAATAAATTTATGTGTGAAGATTATTATTAAATAATAGTACTAGTTACTTTAATAATAAAAAAAAATTAGGAGTCGTATATATTACTGAGTAATTGAAGATATATATGACCAACTCTCATTAGGAGAGTTGGTACCTAGCCTTTACCAATAGGGTAACGGTTTAGGGTTCGAGTCCCCCCTCCCCTACTTCCCCTTGTAATGGACTTGAATTTACTCAAAAAAAAAAAAAAAAAAAAAAAAAAAAAAAAAAAAAAATTGAAGATATATATGAGATTTATAAAAAAAAAAAAAAATTAGTTGGAGGTTGTATAATGTCACAAATGGTAATTGGGCCTATGAATCCAATTTAATCGGTTCAAGCCCAGCCCGAACTGAATATATGGGCCGACCATATATATATTATATGATTCAAGAGTCCACTTCAATTATGAATTTATGAGATTATTTATTATTGAATATTGTGTACTACTACAGTACGTAACACATGTTCATTTTGTTCCCGGAACCCTAAACCTAAATTTCTCAATTGACTAACCGGCGTCGTTTCGAAATGGAACCTGAATCTTCAGCAAAAAGGCAGCTATTATCACCACCAAGTGTCTGTGTAGTTTTTCATTGCTTGGCCGGTAATCCCGAGACCGACGAATTTAAATTTTACATTGTCAATTCGAATTCGGATTTGGATTCATCCTCCGGCGGCGGCGGCGGCGGCGGCGATGAATTCAGGCATAAGGAACCCACTATTTTATTCAAATTGAAAGGAATTAATCCCGCGGCAGCTTTTTGTGCTCTAAAATCGACACTATATATTTTTGAGGGAGATAATCACCACCACCAACCGGTAACCGGAAACGGCTGTGAAGGAAGATTTGCCGGGAAATTTGTGATACCTAAAGATATTTTAAATGGATCCGGTTACCTGTTGCAGAAAGAGGAGTTAGTTAGGATCAAGGATATGCATGAAAACAATTTTTCACCTAAAGCAATTCCCACACCAGACGGTAATTATATTTTACTGTTTTCGTCAGACATCCGTTGGATTAACGGTGGATTTTACGGTGATAGTTTTGAGTTGTATGATGTTAAAGCGGACTCGTGGAAAGTTCTCCCGCGATTGCCTCCTCCCCCTCGCGTTGTGCATTTATCTACGGGAATCGAAACATATGGATTCGAGACCGAGTCCCGTTTTCTGATTAAGAATGACATTGGAATATTTGTCCTCGATCTTGAAAAAGGTAGTTGGGACCAATTGTCGTCGGAATTGTGGCTATTTGATAATCCCCGTGGCAATTTTTTCGGGATCGATGGGTTTAGTTTCGCTCCCGGCTATGCTTATGATATTATTGGAAATGAATTCCAATATCCCCCGCTAACATTGTTTCCGGAAGATGATGACGAGGATAATGATGATTTGGTTCCAATATATCTAAGACATCGTCGAAAATTTTATCCATACGCCACACTCTTAGGTCGTAAAGATTGTGTTTTTGATATGGGTGTTGTGCAAGCACGGTGGCGTACAGACCGTATAACGAATACCGAAAATGTTCGAGTGGTACTCGACATGTATCGCACTAACATCGACAAATTAAAAATCGATATGGAGAAATTCAAAATCGAGAGTGAGAAGTACAACAAAGATATGTTGAAATACGATGCAGAGGGTCGCCGGGGAGAAGAGCCCGTATTTGACACCGACGGGACTTTAAGCAACACCACCGATGTGATTAAAACCTTCAAGTTTATGATTGATTTTGATTTCTTTACTTATGGTATGGGACAAATGTATTTGTTTTCCATTTGAGCATTTTCCTCTCTCTCTCTCTCTTTTGGCTTTTGGCTTTTCCAAAGAGATTATTAATTTCCAAAGAGATTATTTCTAGAAAAAATCAGAAGTTTTTGCAACCAGACAAGACATTACACATAGATATTGTTTGTGTTTGCAGACAATATTTTGATTTGTTGTTCATATTATTACATTCATAGATATATATTCTTGTATGTACATATATATATATTATATTCGGCTTGTTATATACTATGGGAAAAAATGGGTTGTACACAGCTAGTTATATATGTATAATATATATGTTAAGAGGCATGTGCTCTCCTTATTGTTGATACTTTTGGGCGGCAAACTGTCTGAAAGATAAGGGGGCTGCTGCCCCCACCACCATCATTCATTCATTCATCAGGACTACCTATAATGCACCCAAATATATTTAAGCATCAAATTCTATAAACTACAGTCAAACACATAGTTGTGTGTGTGTGTGTGTGTGTGTGTGTGAGAGAGAGAGAGAGAGAGAGAGAGGTGTTATCATAATTAGCGTATAGTATATATAAGTATGTTAACGTACACTTTTATTTCCCTTTTGCATGCTCATTTTTTTACATTGTAATGAAGAGGATGCATGGGGTGGGGGGGGTGGGGGGTGGTTCATTGATCATAATTGCGGCATCTTGCCGGCTATTGCCTCGGTGGAGTGTCAATTATTACAGGCTGCATTTGTTTGGGGTTGATTATGTATTTTAGCAGGGACCATTTGGCGGCTTTGTCTATGTTATCACCAATTAAATTACTACATGAGATAATAATTAATATGAATATGTCACCATAAATTTGGCGAAATTTAGAAATTTTATTCCAATAATTTAAAAAGAAATAAGAGGGTAGTCAAATAATATGGTAATAGAATATTATTATATAGTGAAAAAAGGACAGGTCAAGTCTGGAAATCAACTTTATTTAATCAATGAGTCCATCCTAGATATCAACTCATATAGTTTTAAATTATGGCATAAAATTGAAATTTAAATTTAAATTGTCAAAAAGTTAGGTCTCGTGAAACTTTAACTAAAGAAGCAGACGAGGATTTGGTAACGTCACTGAATATTTTTTGAATATTGTCCTCTGCACTACAGAAAATGACCCTTTTTTCAAGCCATTTTTTAATTTAATTTATAATTTTTTTCACCATATTTTTCCATTTACGCATTGAACATTCTTTTATTTATTTATGTGTTCATTGAATTTCTTTAATTCTCTTGAAAATTAAGTATGATAATTCCGAGATCCATCATTTCAATAAACCTTAAATAAAAAATTGCGTTTCACCTTCCATAGTGGCAGCAGATCAGGAAAGAATTATGCCAGATACAAACTTCTTCCAGATATTCTGTAATTTAACCAAATAAAATAATAATCAAGGCAAAAATAAAAATAAAATAAAACGCCACCTACGAGATAGATAGAGAGAGAGAGAGAGAGAGAGAGAGAGAGAGAGAGAGAGAGCACAAAAGAGGAATGATGAGGAAGTTGAAAGGCAGCATAAAGAAGAAAGCTAAAACCAGGAAAAACAACACACACATGTCTCTCTCTCTCTCTCTCTCTCTCTCTCTCTCTCTATATATATATATATATATATATATATATATATATATATATATATATAGAGATATATATT